CATTGAGATCCTGGAACTAGCAAGAAACACAGCTCATGACAGCGGAAGGACAGGATTGTCCCTCAGCACCTACAGTTGGCTGTCCGCAGCAACGAGGAGCTCGGCAAACTGCTGGGAGGAGTGGCCATCGCTCTGGGAGGAGTTCTGCCCAGCGTTCAGGCGATCCTACAGCCCGGGGGGAACCGAGAGGCCAGCCGAGTCTGGGTGGACGGATCGGACGGCATCTGCAGCCAGTTTCTTAGGATCCACTGTGGGAAGGACCTTTACAAGAGATCCTTCCTGCCAACAGCCATCAGCATCTATAACATCTCTTAATGAAACGAGGATAACGAGTTACAACAACAAATAATTTACCTTTGGGATTAATAAATAAATTAATAAATTAATAAAATAAGTTCTAGAATTGCGCCGCTCAAGGTGGCTGCATGTTGGAGCAGCTCTGTTACTTTCATTCTGAGATTTTGTTTTTAGAAACTTTAATTCCTCTTTTTCTGGATGTAAATCACATTTTTTGGATGATTGTTTCCTCTGGTATCAGATGCCGACAGCAAGCTGGATCTGGGTGGACAGATCGGTATCTGTGGCCAGATTCTTCGTATTCGCTGCAGGAGATCCTTCCTTCCCACAGCAATCAGCATCTAACAACTCTTGAATAAAACCAGGATGATGAGCTTCGACAACACTTAATTTCCCTCTGGGATTAATAAAGTATTTTTGAATTGAATTGAATTGAATTGAATTGAATAAAGTATTTTTGAATTGAATTGAATTGAATTGAATTAACATCATGGTCTGGATATTTTTAATGCAATTGGAAATGGTGTTTTAGAAAGTGTGTGGAAGTAATAAGGAACAAGTGGTACGCTGATGTCCCCCCGTCGATGAAGGAGTGAGTGTTTGTAGTTTACAGGATGAGTGTTTTTCTGGACTGAAATTCAACAGTGAATGCAAGTAAACCTTAATGTTTAAGTGGGTATGAGTTACACTGAGTTTAAGTGCAGAGATAGTTGTTTTATTTTGTCTGAAGCAGCGCATCAGTGATCCTGGTGAGTGGAGGGAGCAATTTTATCCACCACCAGGAGCAGTGGTGGAGGTAGGGGGTGGCCAATGGTGGCCAAAGTCTAAAAGGAAGTTGGCCCATTGCTTATTTTTTGTTATCCAGCTTACAAGGTTTATATATATAAATATGGTAGAGGCCATCTTGGATTTTGACCTGGCAACCCAATTTTTAAAAGGAATCTTCCTTACATCTAGATGCAGCCACAAGCCAAAATGGAAGTCAGAACCTCACCTATTGTTCTAGTTATCGCACTCATAACATTCACGGACGGGCAGACAGAGGGTATTTCCAATTCCAGCATTTCGTCCATGACAAGGGACAAAAAACCCCCAGAACATCTCATTATCATTCATCATAAAAAAGTCCACAAAATTAAAGTCAGATTTGATGCTCTTCAGAAAAATTCAGGTTCTTCATCAGGAGCCAAACATGCATTAAAGCTGGTCATTTAATAGCAATAGTTAGTGCAGGAAGCTTTTTGGAGAGTTTTTCCAAATTCCAGAGATTATATTTGTTTCTTCCATTTCAATATGAATATACCGTACTTGCTGCCGTACATGTCGCACCACCCTATAAGTTGCATCAGTCCAACTATGTCTAATAAAGTGGTAAAAAACATAAATACGTTGCTTCGCCATATAAGTTGCATCTATTATGCATCACCGCTGACCACCCAGAAATGTGGACTGATGTTGTGCCAAAAATCAATTGACTGCCAAATGACGGCCGGGGGAGCGTGCACGGGAGGTCTTTAACAAGAATTTAACCAGATTAACACTTAAAAACAACTATTTGTTTGCTCAAAATTATAGCAAAGATGTGTCTCAGCTGAACTTTTCCTTAAAAAATGGACTTTAATTGTCAAATCAGTTGCATTTCAAAAGCCGATTTGCAGAAGCGGGAGCGCGTAGAGAGACGACTCGCTGTACATTTCTTTGAAATTTAACAAGATAATCACCTAAAAACAATTCTTTATTTGCTCAGGATTATAATAAAGGTGTGTCTCATTTGAACGTTTCCTTAATAAATGCACTTTAATGGTCAAATCAGCTGCTTTTCACCTGGGCGGCACGGAGAAATGCAGCTGATTTGATGTTTGCTCCAGGAGTTCCATACGAGACAAAGGTGGCTTGGTATGGCAAGCCAAGTGTCCCATTATTAGCTACGTTTACATATTAATGAGACACTTGACTTGCCATATTAGTCGAGGGCCCTCTAGTGGCTGAAAATGGTAGTTTTCAATATTTCCCATGTCAGAATGAATGAAATAGTCAGCTCTCAGCCAAAAATTGGGTTATAAATATGAAAAAATAAAACCTAAATACGTCACTACGCTGTATAAGTCGCAGACATGTTAATTTATACAAAAAACTACAACTTATACAGTGAAAATTACGGTAAATAATTTGAACATGTCAACATGAAACCTGCTGATTTAAACAAATATGCTCTCAAATTCCACCACGAAGACACAAGTCCTTTACATTAGCTAAGAAATACCAAAGCTATACTCATAGAACATTATTAAATGTTTTGATGCATACTCAATAATCTGGGTAGATGACTAACAAGGTTGAGGCAGGTCCTCTGAAGAATCTGTGCAGAGGACCTGACTCACCTTGTTAGATTGTTAAATGTTGCACTGCTTTAGTGCTGAGGCAGTCATTGTTCCACTAAAACAGTTCCTATCTATAAATATTATTACTCTCCTTATACCATAAACTTTCATGCAATCAGAACATCACATGCCTGTGACAATAAAATAGCAAAAAACAAATAAAACAATGTATTTTTTATATATCTTTGACAGCCAGCCAATCATTTCCTACTTAGTTTGGCCATTGTGTGCACTCAGCTTTGAAGGCGCCACTGCGCTAAGTCATCGGGGCTTTGTATTCAAGACAGCTATGATCTAACATGAGTGACACGCAGAGTATTCAGAGCAGTATTATCTCCAGGTGAATCCTGAGATGTTCTTTGATGTGAGGCAGCCCCCCATTCTTTTCTCTGATCACAGTCATCTCAAGACAGATTAGTCGGCATCCATCACAAAGACCGTACGGAGGGAGCCTATGAGCTACAGCAGGGAAGGCAGAGCTGCAGAATAAGCTTCTTTACCATTAAACGGCGTGATGTGGAATTATTGGATATATTAGGAGCAGACAAAGCAGTGCTGTGGCTTTTGTTTTATAGTGCTGGAAACATTGAAATGGATCTGGCTGCAAACATCCTGTGAGCTAAAGACAACTCCACCGTCACCGTAGAGTCGATGAGATGAACGTGCAGCAAACCTACGGTGGCCGTGAGGTGTAAATGAACACTATTTGAAAAAAATAATAATAATAATAAAAAAAACAAACAGAAATACATTTGACAAAACAGAAAAATTTTTGAAAAATATGGAATTGCATTTAAAAAAATGTAATTACATTAAGTCAAAGCAGAAGTGGCCAAAGTGGAAGTGGTTGAATCAGAAGTGGCCGATTCGGAAGTGACTGGAATCACATTAGAAAAAAAAAAAACAAGATTTGAAAAAACAAAATTACATTTGAATAACGGAATTAGATTAAGCAAAACCGGAAGTGGTGGGGTTTGTTTTTAGTGTTTAAAAAAAAAAAACCTTTATTAACAACATAAAACAGAATAATGTACAGTACACAAACTAACTAGCACATGCTGTCGATTCTGTGGCCAAATCTATTTATTTATAGTTTGCAAAATCTGGGGGCTCGCATCGTGTTAGTTTTATCGTTTAATGGTTATGCGTATAATATTACTAATGCAGTACCAGTACAACTAAAATGTAAAACTAAAATGTATGTCAACAAAACTTAATTACCTTGAAGATCCTGCTGAGATTTTCCAGCATCATATCTTCTTCTTTAAACTTGAACAAAACATAGCTGTCCATTTCGACAGGCTAAAGGCTAACCTGCTAACTGTACCTTCATTGTGTGTGTACTATACATTGTTCTGTTTTATGTTGTTAGTAAAGTTAAAAAAAAACAAAAAAACATCACTTTCAGTTTTGCTTTATGTAATTCTGTTTTTTCAAATGTGATTCCAGCCACTTCCACTTTGGCCACTTCTGTTTTGGCTTAATCTAATTCTGTTTTTTCAAATTTAATTCTGTTTTTACAAATGTTGTTGTGTTTTTGAAATGCAATTCTGTTTTTTGAACTGTTGTTCATTTACACCTCACGGCCACCGTACGAACCCACTTAAAAAACATACTTTGAATTAAAAAGGGAAAGAGCAGAAAATCTGAGGTGCTGCGATGGCTGAACAAATGATGTGGGGGGGGGGGGGGGGGGGGGGAAAGAAAAATTAAAAATGATCACATGCATATAGAGTAGGTCGTGCTGAACATTTCATGCCAGAATGACTTGCGAAAATGCTTATTCCTATAGAGAATATTATAAATATTTGCACTGTATCTAAATATTTGGACTAACAAATTAAAGATCTGGACACAAGCGTGATGGACATTTCAAAATCTCTAGTTTGGACAAGTCAACAGAGATGAAACTGGAGGCAAATGAAAAATTCACACAGTAAAAACGCATCAGTTGCCTCATTGATATGTTCCCCCCTCTCTTTCTTTGCTGAAATGAACCCTACAACGATTTAGAAGTTTAGTTTACAAATTTCTTAGAAGTCTAGCAGAAATGACGTCTGCAGTGGCATTCCAGTGGCAGGTTTGTCTGCGGGGGTGTAGCTGCGCCTGTCTGCTTTCATCAGAAGTCGTGCCAATGTGACAAACAGCATGATGGTGTGGAGATGCAGTGGAGTGGCGTGTCCCATTCCTCCAGCAGAGATTACAGCTGGGCCTCTGCAATAGCTCTGGGCAGGAGGTGGATGGCATGGCTCTTTGCATGCACGGGGAAGCAGTGTGTGGGTGAGAAGCATGGCACTAACATTACACAAAGTGGTTACTTACAGGTAGTAAGTGTAGGAGTGATAGGTTCTTCTGCCGAGAGGGGTGGTGGTAGGATTTAAGCAGTGGAGGAAGGGGAGGGGATGGAATGAAAAGGAAAGAAAAAGTAAAAATATATTAATGTTTGAAAAAAGAGTCGAAATGAACAAAATCAGATATGGTGGCACACGTGGAGGTAAACTAGTGATCGTGAGGGCAAAGGTGATCGCTTGGAGTCATGTCATGCGCTTATAGTGGAGGGAGTCCAATCACGTTACAGAAACTTTTATCAAACTGAGCTGCTTCCCTTTTATCAACACGTCCTTCTACACACCTATAAAATAAAATTACCATATCTGACCTGCGAGGTTGGACACTTAATGAGCGGCTCCAATGACTAAACACAACTCTGATTCCCCCGGTGGTGACGGTAAATTAGGCAAAATTCAACCAATGAAGTCGTCTCCATCACCGCTTTGATTAGGGGCTAATTGAAAACAATTCCATTACTTGGTGCTGATTTTCACACCCACCCACTGATTGTTGCGCTATACAAACAGGCCACGCTGTGAAAAATAAATCTTATATTACCAACGAGAATAAACACGGAGCATAGTGACTGCATTAGTACAAAGAGACACAGCTATGCCTTCCCAGTCGTACAAGAAAATGAAACATTAAATAATAAATTCATCAAATGACTTTTTTGCTTGAACTTAAGCCGAACATGAAGGGTTCTGTGGCGACGTTATAAACTTTTCTTGTCTCGTCTGTTGTAAATAAAGAATAGAATTAAACTCTAGTCAAAGTGACAAGCTATCAGATCGTTTGAGTGTGGCAAAAACCAAAGTAAAAACCTTTTCAGTGCTGCTTGTTTCGCTTTACACAGTTATTCCAGCAGAAATATGATATTCTATCCAGAAATGCCCCCCAGACTACACTAAAATTTCTACAACTAGTTATTGCTGCCGCTGTTACTTTTTATAAATAACCGCAGACTCATGTGTAAATAACCATGTAATGGAGCATCAAAGTTCATGCTCGATAATCTAGGTAAAAAAAATCCAACAAAGTTCAGTCAGGTCATCTGGACTGCTTCTTTTTTTGTTGTTGAGATGTTTCGTCTTTCATCCAAAGGACTTCATCAGTCTGAGGAGCCACAGCAAACTCAGTCCCATAAGTGTAAAAAAGTTAAATCTGGTCCTCTGGACATTAAAAAAAAACAAACAAACAAAAAAAACAAAGCAAATCAACAAGTTTCAAGTTTTTTTTTTTTTGTTTTTTTTTTTGAATGTCCAGAGGACCAGATTTAACTTTTTTAGATTTTTCTACCTGGATTATTGAGCATGCATCAGGATAGTCCCATAAGTGGCTTACTCACATAGTGGGCCAAACCAGTTTGCTGGTGATAAGATGGTTTCTGGGGCTCACCCTCTTCCCTGTCGACTCCTCTGAGGCATCCATAGCCAAAGTGGTTCAAAACATCAACGTTCATGCTCAATAATCCAGATAAAAATCCAACTGGACGATTTCTTCTTCTTCTTTTTGTTTTTCTGGTTGAAACATTTTGTAGTTCATCCAAAGGACTTCAAGGAGCCACAACAAACTCAGTTCCATAAGTGGCTTTCTCACATAGTGGGCAAACCAGTTTGATATTTTGAACCACTTTGCTTATGGTTGGTTGCCTCACAGGAGTCGATGGGGGAGAGGGCGGACTCCAGAATCCATTTTATTACCATTAAACTGGTTGGCCCACTATGTGAGTAAGCCACTTATGGGACTGCATTTGTTGTGGCTCCTCGGACTGATGAAGTCCTTTGGATCAAGCTTTTCATGAAAAAAATAAAATAAACCGCCCAGAGGACCTGACTTAACATTGTTGGATTTTTTTTACTTAGATTATTGAGCAAGATGGCTGCGGTTTCTACAGTTGCAGCTTCGTGCACTCCGCCCATCTTTCGGATGACAGTACGTACATATTCGCGTTGTACCTCGGTGCAACTCCAATAAAGTTTATTCTGATTCTGATGAACTTTGATGTTTTGAACCACTTTGTCTATGGCTGCCTCAGAGGAGGTGATGGGGGAGAGTGCGGGCCCCAGAAGCCATCTTATCACCAGCAAACTGGGTTGGTCCACTATGTGAGTGTGCTGCTTGTCGGACTGAGTTTGCTGTGGCTCCTCAGACTGATGAAGTCCTCTGGATAAAGGACAAAACGTCTCAACAACAACAGCCAAAAAAAAAACTGAAACCGTCCATATGACCTGACTGAACTTTGCTGGGCAACACTAAAAAAAGTGAAAGTTGAGAAAACATTTACATTGACTATTGTGATTTTTGTTTTTTTTAATTCGAGCCATTTTAAATTAACAGGCTGTTGATTTTTGAAGCTATGCTCTGTCAAATAATTAGTGATAGTATCGAATTATCCGTGATGTCATTCATAGAGCAGAGTGTGGAGAAAGATGCAAACTTTGTCCAGGTGAGGCCAAATTTTCATATAATTCTGGCTTATAAGACTTTTGTTTTCTCCAAAGTGACATACTGCACATTAGCTAATATTAAAGCGCTACATTTCCATAGCTGTATGATAGACTGTGTTAAGCTGATGGTGCAGAGGCTGCAGATGCATCAGTCTGTGTGATTGGTGTTTAGTAAATCCATGCATGTGTCAGTCAGCTGGGCCTCTTTACTCAAGGCCCAGCTGACTGATACCCTCAGCAGCCTCACCATCGTATACTTTGCACACGCATTTGGCTAATGGCACAAACATTGTTCGACTGAGGAAAGTGTGACAAAACTAAACAAAGTCATGTATAAGTGTAGATGTTTCTTTCACACTTGTTTTATAGGCCAGAAAATGACAAACAGCTTCTCGTTTTGTTAGCCATTAGCCTAGCCTTGACAAGGACTTCTGCTCTTCTCTCCATACTTCATGCTCCAGTACTGATAAAGTACTATTTGACAGAACTTCACCTCAGAAATATTAAACTATATAGGACAGAAATCCACTTCACTTTTAAAGCCAGCTCAATCCAGCTGTTAGCTTGTCAGTCTGGTCAAAACTAATCTATATTACTCAAAGCTGATGTCATCCAAAGAGCTGTTTACAACACACAAGACACAATTTGTTCAGTAGAACCCCACTTCAAACAATCTGAACTATCGCTTTAATATTAAAGAACATACACATAGAAAAAAATAAAATAAAATCAACGACTTATACCCACCAAGGAAATTTCCACAGAAAGTGATTTGTGTTATTTCAAACCCTACTGTGGACAAAAAGGAGGTTGGTATTTGTCGAGCGTTAGCTCCCCTGATTACTGGGATGCGCGCCGAGGATCTCTAGAGTCTGTGGTCCAGAGCTAATGTAAACTTAGCCTTCAGCTATGCGGCCATCCTCTTTCCCTTTTGAGCCTTTCATCATATTTTCTTTCTTATCTCCTCTACGCACCACAAGGATCCAAAATATATTTTTTCTCTCCCTCCTGTTCCCATTCCAGTGTCGCTGCACATTTGTTCGAGGGTGCCGTGGATTAATTTTTCATGGCACACTTGTATCTCATGGCTGTAAACAGCGTTAATGTGCCGTATCAACACGATCAAATTAATTATTTATGACGCCGTTGACAATGCTACCATTGGAGGGAGGAATATAGGAAATGGTGAAATAAAAAAAATGCTCATTTTTAGAAACTGTGCAACTACTTCCACACAGATTTGAAACAGTATGTTTATGAGTACTGAAACAAGCTTACCTTTTCTTCATGAGGAGCACCACTCCTAAGAAGATGATGACGAAGAGGAGGATGCCAGCGATGACCCCTGCGATCTTTACAGTGTGGTCTGTTTGCTTCTCCGGCTCCACTGCGTCAGGTTTATGAGTGGCTGCTCCTGCAAAACATCGGTAACACTTTACAATACGGTACACAAAGTTTGATTAACTACTAGGGAACGCCTCAAGAACGAATCAGGAGCTAATGAGTAGTAAACCAGTACTTACTGGGAAACACACAGCCAAGCGTTATTAGGGGACTACTGGTTAGTTACCTTGTAAATGAAGAGGAACTAATCAAGAACTAATGGGTAGTTACCAAGGAAACAAAAGAAGAACAAATCAGGAGCTAATGGGTAGTTACTGGGGAACACACAGACAAGCTTTATAAGATGACTACTGGTTTGTTACCACAGAAACAGGATACAATCTCCATGTGGGTTCTGAATAAACCCTGCACCAGTGAGGTCACAGCTGGTCATGGTCAAAAACCTGTTTCCTAGTGATTACTGGTTTTATTGGATTTTCTCATTTGTTAAACTATTGATGAAAGACATTAGCAATTTCATAATCTTGTACTGCTGTGATCTTAACTATGGTTCTGTGTTAACAAACCAGTAGTCCCCTAATAAGGTTTGGCTGTGTGTTCCCCAGTAAGTACTGGTTAATTACCCATTCGCTTCTGATTCATTCCTATTTGGTTTCCATGGAAACTACCGATTAGATCCTGATTAGTTCCTCTTCATTTCCCAGGTAACTAACCAGTAGTCCCCTAAGAAGGCTTGGCTGTGTTCCCCAGTAAGTACTGGTTAACTACCCATTAGCTCCTGATTCATTCCTTTTTGGTTTCCATGGTAACTACCATTAGTTCCGGATTAGTTCCTCTTCGTTTCCCAGGTAACTAACCAGTAGTCCCCTAATAAGGCTTGGCTGTATGTTCCCCAGTAAGTACTGGTTAACTTCCAATTAGCTCCGGATTCATTCCTCTTTGGTTTCCATGGTAACTACCCATTAGTTCCTGATTAGTTTGTCTTCATTTACAATGTAACTAACCAGTAGACTCCTAATAATGCTTGGCTGTGGTTAACTACCCATTAGCTCCTGATTTGTTCCTGATTGATTCCTGAGGCGTTCCCCAGTAGTTAATCAAATTTTGTGTACCTTATTGTAAAGTGTTACCAAAACATCATAGAGATTACATTAAAAAGAAAACTTTGAATCTAATCTTGCCATTTAGCAGGAAGCACACAACACAAGTGGACTAAACAGAACCACAAATGCACACAATTTGGAAGAAAATGATGCCAAGACTCAAAGTACACGACTTCCAATTGTTTCAAGAGTCCACTTTCAGCTCTGTCCTTAGTGGACATCAGCAATCTGTGGATGAAGCTGCACTGCCAGAGATAAGTGCATACCTTCTTTACCCTTGCTTAATCACATTTGTGGCAAATGGTTGCTAAGATGTAGAAAAATGCATGATGCAGTGCGGTAAAGATAATACCCGAGAAGATAAAAATGCCTGAAATAACCAAAACATTAAATATGAGCCTGGGAGGAGATAGCCAACAACGAAAGGCGCAAACAAACAGGGTAATATAAAAAAAGCAGCTTGTTTCAACAGCATCTGTTCTTTGGAAAGTGATAAGGCGCACTCTGGAAGACGGTGTTGCTCGAATCACATCTGTCCACCTGAGCAACACCATTATTCCTTGTCACCAGCTGTAAATTTAGAATAATAAATTGTTATGTCAAACAGCTAGTATTGCCATTTTCCTTCCCTATCGAAAGAGTAAATGTCCATCCTGAGATGGTTGTGACACATTGTTTTAGCTCTGGTGTGCCGTTATCAACCTTTATTTAAAGAAGACATATGATTTTAGGCAAAGTGGTGGAGGATTTCCAGTCTGCAGAAAAAAAAAATGCATCATGTCTGGAGTTACGGAGGTGATTTTATCCTAAAACATTGCTTCACTCTAACTTTGCAGAAATGCTGTCAGTTTTAAACCCCCGTTTGAGTTGTGAGCTGTATGTTCAGGAAGTTTTATTTTAGTCTGAGCAGAACAAGAAGAAATTGTTACACATAAGCATCATTTTTTTAGTGCTACAACTGCAACAAGTAGCAATCAACTCACTTAATCTCCCCAAAGTAATGAGAAATATTCATGAAAGTGGATTAACTCCTGTCAAAAGCCTTCAAAAGTGATGAATCACACTAACAATCTTTCATGTCTGCTAAGAAGATGAAGGTAGACAACAATGTATGCATGTCTTTGATTTAAAAACAACAATACAAGTAATATGCTTGTGTGTTTTCTTGCTGAAGGGACTATAGAGTCACCACATTAATAAGGAAGGAGCGGGGAGGGTCAGAAAAGACTCCAAGGGTGACGGGCCTGACCTGTTAGTTGGTTGTCACCGGCTGCCGGGGCCATGCGGATGTAGGGGGTTGTAAGCTGAGTCACGAGTATGGCGGCTGAGTATAGTCAGTAGATCCAGGATTGACATGCAGCAAGAAAAAGACAAAGAAAAAGAGAAAGACCACACTGGAGCTCAAACATTAGTTTTCACCACCATGCAAGACTTAGGTCACATTTCTCTCATTAATAATCACTATTTGGACTATTTATAAGATACAAATAAGTTTTAAAGTCTGGCTTTGACGATGCAAAGCTTTCATCAAACTCCATCTATCTTTAAAGATGTTAAGGCTTACTCGTGGCTCCTAGAGTTTATAAGACTTGAATGGGAGGCAGAGGTTTCAGTTGTCGAGCTCCTCTCTTGTGGAACCACCTTTTAGTTTGGTCCATGAGGTTGACACTGTCTAGTCTGGACTTTAGCCTTTCCTGTTTGATCAGTCATATAGTTAGGGTTAGCTTGGGTTTCTTGAGCTATCCTTTAGTTATGCTGCTATAGACTTAGACTCTTGGACTCTGCTGTGGTTTTACTCTGATATTTTTTCTTCTTCCTATAGAAACTACACCTGAATCAACATTTTTGTGTCTGTTTGTGTCACTTTCTTGTCTTTTCCACCCCCCACCAGTCAAGGCAGATGGCCGCCCATCCTGAGTCTGATTCTACTGGAGGTTTATTAAAAGATATTCAATAGCATGGGATCAATTTTCATTGTTATGCTGATGATACACAGTTTTATTTGTCCATGAAACCAAATGAATCCAATGAGCTACTTAGACTACAAGCATGTCTGAAAAACATAAAACCCTGGATGACACTAAATGTTCTCCTTTTGAACACAAACAAGACTGAGGTTTAAGTTTTTGGACCTGAGCATCTTGGGAATTAATTTTTCAGTCTTTCACCCTCCTTAGATGGCTTTAATCTGGACTCCAGCTCTAATGTTAAAAATCTTGGTGTTATTTTTGATCAGGACATGTCTTTTATCCCCCACATTAAAAACATTACTAGAACCTTCTTCCATCTGCGTAGTATCACTCAAATTAAAAACATCTTATCTAAAAATGATGCAGAAAAACTGGTCCATGCATGTGTCACGTCTAGACTGGACTATTGCACTGGTTTATTATCTGGATGTCCAAATACTTCTTTAAAACGGCTTCAGTTGATCCAAAATGCTGCTGCCAGAGTCTTAACTGGTGTTAGTGGGAGAGATCATATCTCTCCAGATTTAGTTTCTCTCCACTGACTCCCTGTCAAGTCCAGAATTGAATTCAAAATCTTCTAACCTGCAAAGCGCTCAACAACCTAGCTCCATCTTATATTTGAGATCTTATTGTTCCATATTTTCCTAACAGAGCACTTCGCTCTCAGACTGCAGGTTTACTTGTGATTCCTAGAGTTTCCAAAAGCAGAATGGGAGGTAGATCTTTCAGTTATCAGGCTCCTCTCTTGTGGAACCAACTTCCAGTTTCTGTCCATGAAGCTGACACATTGTCCAGTTTTAAGACTGGACTTAAGACTTTCCTTTTTGATAAATCCTATAGTTGGCTTGGTTTCTTAATCTATTCCTTATCCTATGCTGCTATAACCTTAGACTACAGGAGAACAAATTGACTTAATTTCATCAAATGAACAGTTACAGATACATACAAATTAATAGTTTGTTTTTGGTAATTATTCTTTCTAAACATGTGATTTCTGTCTTTTTGTCTTTCCTCCTTGAGGAAACCTGATGGTCTCCATCCTGGACCTGTCATTCTGTGTTTGTTTTCTCCTTCCTGGTCCTCTCAAACCCAGCCAGTTGAAGCAGATGGCTGCTTGTCCTGACTGGTTCTACTGGAGGTTTCTTCCTCATGGGGGAGTTTTTCCTTTCCACTGTTGCCTCTGTGCTTGCTTATGAAGGGAGACTGTGATGAAGTTAAAATCAGTCTGCCTTCTCCTCAGATAAATAACGTTATTAACTGACTTTATATTGTATGTCAATTGGTTGTATTAGAAACAAATGAATCGATTTGTAATTGGGTTTGAATCTGGGTTTGAATTGTTTTTATGATTTCCACTTGTTTTTTTTCTGTTGTACAGTGTCCTGAAAATAAATTGTTTTACACAGCTCATCTTTTCGAGTCAAATGTAAATATTTTTCCTCTTTTCTCTTGTGATATCTGACTACACCCCTCTGACCCAAGCAGATGTAGACCCCCCCCACAAGAAATATATAGTGGTGCTGCATGCAAACCACACAACATATATATGAGATTGTCAGGGCATGTGACAGAACCTCCCACAGCCCAGAACAGATTGTGACTACAACTCCCTCTGGCCTTATCAATTCTGCACCCAGATCAATGGCGCTTAGACTTCATCACCCTTAATGTGAGGAGCAGGACATTCAGGCCGCGTAGCTAAGTATCTGCAGACCTCCGTGGGCACACACATGCTGCCTCCAAGTCATGGAATAACACATGTTCTAATCAATACATCGACCAGAATTCATGTTAAAACTTAAATCACGCTGGTTTAAAAAAAAAATGCAACTGCAAAGTCTAACGCAGCAGTAAAACCAACAAACTGGAAACACGTTCAGTTAGTTCTGAGATGTCAAATGCAAGTTGTGTTAGGAGCTGCACGTGGTAAATGTTTTTTTTTTTTAAATACAAAATTTAATCCAATCCTACCTTTGGTGGCAACTCGAACGCAGTCGATTTTAGTTTCCTGTTCAGACAGATACAAAGAATCACACAGGAGAGGAGGATCTGGGGTTATTATACAACACATTCACAAGTGTGCACACAAAGACACGCGTATGACAGCAGCAACACCTATCCAAGAACCTGCGGTTACAGGAAACATTGTGGCCAGACTCATGCTGTCCCCTATCATCTGTTGAGCTCGATGACTGTGACACAAAATGCACCTAAGCGAGAGGGCCTGCAGCACAGATTAGAGGTGCTGAGCTGCTGATTTGTCAACCAGCAGCGATCTGTCGGCAGCTTGCAGCTCAAGGTGGTCATCCACTGTGGAGAAAGCAGAGCCCTGTGACAAGCACCACCGAACCACTGAGCAGGGCTCCAGAAACGACACATCGGGGAGACTTTCAGAATATGTAATGGACTTTCAGCTCTGACAACAGAAAACAGCAATTGCTGTTGTCAGAGAAGTTTGCTGTCAAAAAACTGAATAAAAAAAGGGCACAGAAACAGGAATGGGGTGAGTAATGCAACACAAAACATACGTTTCAGTCCAAAGAGTAAATAACATTTACAGGTAAAATATAAGAAGAGAAATGTTGAGCTCAGGCACATGCACTGCAACGTTTAAACTGTTAAATGACTTGTTTTTTTTAAAAATATGAACAATGTTAATGTTATCCATTAAATTATATTTAAACACAAGACAACAAAATTAGAAGTTTGGGTAGTGCACATCTTTAAGGGTGCCGTTTATAAAGTGACACCGTCAAAAATCAACTGCAATATTTTGGTTTATTTAGTCTTTCATAAGAAAAAAAAAGTTTTTATTGTCAAAGTCATATTTTCACCATGTTATTCATACATTTACGGGTGTCATAGTTTCAAACTAAATATTTAATTTATAAGCTAAATATTTAGTTTACAAACTAAATACTTAACTTGCAAGGTAAATATTTAGTAAAAAAACTAAATATTTAGCTCCACACTCTAGTGAACAAACTAAATGTTTATGTCCAAGCTAAATAGTTAATTTACAAACTAAATATGCAAGTTAAATATTTAGTTAGTGAACTAAATATTTAGGTGTAAATTAAATATTTAATTTCCAAGCTAAATATTTATTTTCAAAACTAAATATTGAATTTTCAAACTAAATAATTATTGTCCAAGCTGAATATTTAATTTAAAACTAAATATTTATTTTATGAGCTAAACATTTAATTCCTAAACTAAAAGAGGTGCATAGCAGTTCATCTTTTATTTAGATAGTCCACTTCAGCTTTTCAGCAAAGAATTTGCAGATTAGTTAAATATTTAGGTTTGAGCTAAATATTTAGCTTGCAAGTTAAATATTTAGGTCAGTGCTAAATATTTAGTTAGCAAATTAAATATTTATTTTGGAAATTAAATGTTTAGTTTGGAAAATAAATTGTTAGGTCAGAGCTAAATATTTACTTAGCAAATTAAATATTTAGTTTAGGAATTAAATGTTTAGAATAGAAATTAAATGTTTAGTTTTGAAAATAAATATTTAGCTTGGAAATTAAAGATTTAATTTACACCTAAATATTTAGTTCACTAAATATTTAACTTGCAAGTTAAGTGCTTAGTTTGTAAACTAAATATTTAGTTTGAATATTAAATATTTAGTTTGGAACTATGACATTTACAAATATATGAATAACATGGTGAAATTATGACATTGAAAAAAAAAAGCCCTATTTTTTTCTTATGAAAGTCTAAATAAACCAAACTCTTGCTGTTAATTTTTGACTGTGTAACTTTACAAACGGCACCCCATACACCTTCACTAAGTGCTTACTTCGTCTGAGAAGCTCCTATAAAAATCCTAATGATCAAACACTAAAACAGCTCAGAGAAATCAAACGCTGAAGAAAACGACATCATTCCATTGAAAGAATGAACATCATACAGTCGCTTTCAGGCCAGAGTTTTAGACCGAGTCCATTTTCTGCTGAGAAATGATAAAGTTATAGAGAGACCTTGAAAAAAAATTATTCAATAATGCAAGATACCACGCCTTTAGCAACGTCCACATTAAATTTTAGCTCAACATCTGTCAAATTGACCGATTCATATTCGTTGTTGTGTCGGATAACATAGCCAAGCTTTAGCAGCCATCTTGAATTGATTGATTTTGATTACTTTCTTGACACTTTCATTAAAATCTGTTATGGCTTATAAGATATTTTGTTTACAGAAAAACTGTGGTAACTCCAACGGTTATTGCTGAAGTTTTAAGTAAACACAACCACACGTGAGTTTAGTTCAATATCTGTCAAACTGATGGAAATGAAGCAATTTTTGTTGTTTCTAATGTTAGTTGGCTGTGGCAGCCATCTTGAATCAAATTAGCTTTAAAAGTCCACAAGTTGAATATATACTTTCAATCATTACTTCCTGAAGGTTTCACCAAAATCTGTTAAGTGGTTCATCAGTTATTTTGCTAACAGACACAGGAAAACATAATAACTTGCCTTGGCCTTTAAGTGGGAGGCAGTAAATAGTGAATCTGGCTCCTGTGGAGTAAAATACCAGATGTAAAAATCTGTGCACAGCTGTGTGCCCCACCGACGCTGATGAGAGCCGTCGCAGCATTCACACATTCCAGGTGGAAGAGCGCCGACGCGCTACTCTCCAGAGCTAACGCGCTAATTTGATTCAGCGCCGCCTCACAATATTTGTATTGCCTCTTTAAAGGCGTGCTGGTGTTTCTCAAGGATGTTGTTTATGGTGATTTTCATTCAGGACACAATCGGCGGGGCTCTTGAAGCTGCAATCGAGCGAGCGGTGAAGGGAGGGGAGTCCTGCCAAGAGCCACTTGATGACAGAAGCTGCGACCTGTGCGATTAGTAAAGCCCGCTGTTGTCCCCTGGCTCGCACACTGAGCTGCAGGTCGGACGACTGCATCTCATAAATGCTGTTGATCAGCGGTTTGTGTTGTGGTTGGCACAAAGCTCCATGGGAAAAGGCATGAAAACAGAGCCAGAGGAATTTTTTGTGGGGGGGTGGGGGGGTGGGGGGGTGTCAGGACACATCGTTCTGCTCCTTAAGGCTGACCCTGCTGAAAGTAGCTGACAGTGCAGTCACTGCTGTTTGTGTTTATTTGCTGCTGTTAGGAGGCCGCCGGGCGACTGCGCTCTGCACCTTTAGCTCATCGAGGAGTCAATCTGTCCGTTATCCTCTCGTTTTCATAATGCTCATTTCTATTGTTTTAACACAAATACAGTAAATAGTAAATGCACTGTATCTTTCTATCTTATCAAGATACTCCTGCACCACCTGCATCATGAGGGACCCCACTCACCCAGCACACACACTTTTTGCCCCGCTCCCCTCAGGAGGGAGGTTGGGGAGCATTAAGTGTAGAACCACTAGACTGAGGAACAGCTTCTACCCTGAGGCTGTTAGACTCATGAATCTCTGACCAGAATGATCACTGTGAAGGACCATATCGTGTTGCTGCTGATCTGTTTCGTGTTGCTGCTGATCTGTTTTAATGTTGGTGTGTTCATGCGTGCACATCTGCTCACAGACTCGTGTTCATGTTTGTGCTATGTTCAATGTTTTATGTTATGAGTGCTTAGTGTATATTTAGTTGATGTTTTTCTTAGTTCATATCTTAGATGTTATTACTGTTTTTCTTATACATTTTATTGTTGGATGTAACTGGGACCCTGTGTACATAATTTCGCTCCACCACATGTACCACATGAGGTGCGAATGACAATAAAGAAACTCTGACTCTGACTCTGACTCACAGCTCTTTACACTACAATCTGTGCCTCATTTACCCATTCATACTGCACTCTACTACAGCTATACAAAGACTAATCAATGCTTGATCACATTCATACACCGATGGGACACACATCTGAGGCAATGAGGGGTTCAATGTCTTGCTCAGCGACACTTCAGCATCTGACTGCTGGTGGAATCGAACCCCCAACTCTCCCATTGGAGGACGACTGCTCTAACCATTCAGCCACAGCCGCCCCACAGTAGTCCCTCGCTACTTTGCGGTTTCGCTGTTTTTCAATGATTGTCAGTTTTAATATTACTCACGTGATTGGGACGGTACAAATAAAAATTTAACGGAAAAAAAACCAACTTCAGACAAGCGCCACCATTTTGTAGTTTTCTTTCAATAAACCTACACTGCATCACCAGCCCCAAAGAACTACACTACCCAGAAGCCAACAGTGCTTCCGGCCGCTGCTTTCTATCTAAATGGGGGGGAAAGTTTTGATCTGATCCAAACCTGACTAAAAACTTTGGTCCTTAATCATAGTGACTTCAGCGCTCAGTGGATGCAGAGAACCGATCAGAACCGGACCAGAACCGGACCAGAACCGGACCAGAACCGGACCAG